GGATCATTCATGTACTTAATCCCATTCACGCCATGATCTCCCACCATGTGCTTGTGAACCAAAAACGGCTGAGTCCCTGAGTCTCTGAGTCCCAAGTGTTCCCAATGTGTCCTGCCTGATCCTTCCTTCCCTCCCCTTCCCCCCGCCATTCGGAGCCGCACCGTGCCAGGCCATGTGGCCGTGCGCCGGCCGCTTCAGCCTGCCGTGAACCTCCCCGAGCCCTCGGCGAAGATGTCCTCCCAGGCGGGACCAGACAGCGTGGCCTGCGGGACGCCGTGAGGACGGGATCCTTGAACAAGGATCCAGTCCACTTGTGGTTTTTGACCTAAGGAACCAAACCTGGAGGGGTTCCACTCCAGAAACGAATTCCCGATCCAGTCGTACCTTCTCAGGTTCGGTGATTGGAGACTAGTTACGTAGGTGCCAGGAGGGCCCAAGTACCTTCTGAGAAGGTATGTGAGGGCCTAGGGAATGCAGAACAGGATTTCTACTGTGGTTCAGCTTGGGCTCTAAACCTCTCGCCCGGCGTGGAGTGTTCTTGTTGGGGGCTCCGGCTTCGGCCGTGGAAGTTGTGGGGTTGCAGAAAGGGTTTCATCCGACTTGCGCCAGACTCCGGCTGCTCTTGGTGGAAGGGTCATGTTTCACAAGCCTTTCAAAGGAATCAAGATACACAAGGCACAAGTAAGTGTTGCTTCACCCGGACGGACAACAAAAAAACAGCACAACAGCATAACGTACAAAATGGATGCGCTGGATGAGGATGCCCCTGTTAAATATGTGCCGTCAAGGCTGAGTCTTGTGAGGATTCATGTAGCTGTTAGGGGTATAGCTACAGACACTGAGGTGTTGGTCAAATCTCTTACCACACTAGTAAGTTTCATGACGATGGGACATGTATTTGTGTCCATAAGTGTGTGAAACAGCATAGAATGTAGAAGTTGCTTGCCATTGACAGTCCTTTGGTCCTGTATATTATATATATATCCTTGGGGAAGCATAATAGAAGATCAAAGCTGGCTGCATTTCATCCATGTCCCTCCTGACATTGTATAGATGGGAAAGACCTTAACACGTACACCTATGGAAAAGGGCTTGTTCACAAATTCAGACATCGGCACGTGAACAACCAGTGGGAGAATCCTCAACTCTTGAAGAACCTAGAGATCCTTTTTGTCCCTTCTCTTTGGCCGCTGTCACAATGTCAGCGTGTCCAAGATCCAAAATGACAGTCGAAAAACCGGTCGACTACGTGGGTGAAGTTCACTTGGAAACCAACTGTTTGTTCTTAGAACCACGTGTTTGTTCATAAGTTAAGTCACCTGTGCCTTCGTCTTGAAACCTTCATGAACTCTGGGATTTGGGCGATCCAGGGAGCGCCCCTCCAAAAAGCCTGCTGTAGACTTTCTTCGACCAATCTCTGACCACCTTAAAGGTCCCTTGCCGCCAAGTTGTGACCCATCCCAAGCATCATCCTCTCGTCTCCTCTCGTCTCCTCTCGCCAGTCTTTGAAGAGCCGTTTGCATCACTTCGTCTCCTCCATCTGAGCAAGCCTCCGGCCTCTGACTTGAGCTTTCGCAAAAAGGACAGACTCTATAAAGACCGGAACACATATGAACACATTTATTTGTTGATCTTTTTTGTAGTTGGTTTCTTCCAACTTGGATGTGTACTGAACATCAAGTCGATCCCAGGACCCCCCCCCCCATCCATCAAACTATGCCGTCCCAGTGAATTGGGGTGGTCAACCGCCAGTCCCACGAGATGGACAGAATTTCAGCGAATTGGTCGGGTTTGGACCACCAGGAATGTTGTTCTATTCGTCTAAAGCTACTTGCACTAGCCATGCTACTGCTATGAAAAGAGCGCCCGACTCACTGATATTCTGCTAGCAGTGAAACATCTTCCGGCGATGAGGGTCCGCCTTTGAGTTTGGCTGTCTTGTTTTGGGGGGTAAAAAAGAGGGACAAATACAGAACATTGACTTCTTATTTGGTGTTTGTATGTTCATTTCGAGGTGAGTGTTTATGTCAGAGCTCCTGTGTACCTCGTGCCAGTTGGAGCCCATGGATGCTGGAAAACCGCTTTGTAACTCGTAGGAGGCCAGGTGAAGACGCCTTTCATTTGTAGAGTGAAGAGAACACGGATCATCGGACGCAACTTGCATCATTTTCACCATGAATCGGATGCCGGACGTGCAACTCTTGAGGATGGAGGGTTGAGTTAATTTTCAGAAGTGGCTGGAATGCTAGCCTCGGCCCATTTGAGAATTTCTGGAGGATCGCTTTCCCCGAACATAGTAACGGAACATAGCTTTATGGGGGAAACTGAGGGAGTGAGCTTTCCAACTGGTACATGTGAAATGCTATACCAAACATTGCAGCTTCTTACGTGCTATGGTGTCTATGGTTGGGTGTTACATGCTTTGCATGTGAGAGCTGACGAAATCTACAGGTGAAATCAAATCTTCCACCCCAGGAAACGCCAGAAATCGCTCAGGAGTCCCAGTGTCTACCTTCAGCGAATGCAGTTGACGCACAGCGAATGCAGTTTGCAGGTATGCTTCTGACCGCCTTAAACCTGAATCAGTACTGATGTGTTGTTTATTCCTTCAGGCAATGGCAAGGCCACTTCTCGTGCAGTGGCACCTTACAAAGTGAGGGAGTGCCAACTGCTGAATGATCCGCGTTTTGTTAGCGTTCCTGATTCCGACGAAAGTCTCAGGCCTGCTAAGTACACCGATCACCTACAACGATTTGATGTGAGGCTGCAAGATTTCGGAGGCCGAATAGAATATAGAATCCGGCATGAGGAAATTCCTTTATAAAGATGTTCTCGCGGAACATCAAAGGAGCCAGGATGACCCAGAATGCAATTGTTTTCATCATCTACATCTCAGTCCCAGTGATTCCCAAAGTTGACCCTTCATCCCAGTGATTGTTGACCCTTCATCCCAGGAATTCCTGTTTTCATTTTGTTTTCTGTGACTGCATCCGAACGAAGCCCATGATAGTCTTTAAGGCCACATCAACTGCTGGTTCTTCAGATTTCAATTCTTCCAACATTGAAACACTGGGTGATGGTTCCAGATAGTCTAACTTGTTTGACCTTTACGTGGGATTGAGCCAACCAACTTATTTTTGGTCGTTGAGTTGAAACCAACATCATTGAAACAGGTTTGAACAGGCCTGCTGTGCGCTGCACGCAGCCGAGCAGCGGCATGGTCGCGGCTTCTGTCTGGTGGTTCTTCACTTGGAAGATGACCAGAGCCCGGCAGGGAATTTGGACCTCCAAGTGACAGCAGAAGGCGGTCCGCTCTTCCTAGTGACAGGCGGACCTTGTGGGACGATTTTCGGTGATGATGATGAATCCAGTTGGTTCTCGGAACTGAGGACAATTTTTTGAGTTACTATTGGCCCGGTTCCTGGACAACAACTCCAAGTCTTCCCAAGTCTCCCAGATTTGGTCTAGTGGAAAATCGGATGCGTCTGACACCACCAGCTGCTGGTAAGATGGACATCGATAGCCTACAGGAGCTAAGCTCGGAAGTTCCCGAGAAAAGCAACCAAAGCGTTGAGTATCAATAAGGGTCGTGTGGCTCGTCCCATCCAGTGAGTGGATATCGTGCAAAACAACCTTCCTCCAGGACCGGACCTAATAGGAACTGCTGGTAGCAGCTGCTTGGGTGGAACGGTTCCGAGTGTCAGATCACCAGAGTCGCACCATGGCCACATCTCTCGATCGGTCAAAAGCGATGTCGATCTTTGGAACGAACAAACACCATGGCCATGTGTGTGTGGTTTGTGTGTGCATTTCTTCTAACACCTCATGGATGTGGAGAGCATGTGTGTGTGTTTCTGCTCACGTCCATCCAATCAGTTTATGTCATACGCTGGAGCCCTCCTTAATATAAAGACAATGGAACCAGCCCCCGCTAGTCGGAGCTGGCGGAATGCTTCAGTAGCTGCTTTTGAGGTGTCCTGTTGGGAGTTGCAGGGACATCAGGAAGTCTTCACCTTCCGATCTAAGACCAATCACTTTCCAGCACTCTAGTTGTACGCATTTTGGATTCGTACTGTAGGGGTTAGCCCTGTTCCCTATCATTTGCCGGGCATAAAATTATCTTATAATTATATACATGATATTACTTATTACATTCAAAGGTTTGGGGAAGACAGATATGATCGTATTACATTCATATTGACTCCAGTTTTGTTGGAGTGGTGGAAGAAAGATCAATCAGCTGCGGAGATCCAAGGCCCTGCCGGTGATAGATCCATCGGGAGTGAGTTTGAAACTCCACTCCTGTTTCACAGCACTGTCACTGCGCGTTTGGGAAGGAAGATGAAGCCACTGACGGACTGACGGACGTATTTCTGGGGAGGGGAGGTGGTGAATATGGTAGAGACTCATCCAATGGACGGTGCCGAAAGCGATTCATGCCAATATAATTCATAGTAAGATTCCAAAACGATGACAGTGTCATCTTCTTCAAAGAGACCCTAGCTGCTAGGTCTGGCAAGTGACTTGTTGAAGCCACTGGCCCTTGTGCGAATACAAGCAAATCACAGAGCACATCATCCTTTGGTCGCCGGTCGCCAGACAGGTAAGAAGTGCTCCATTGCTCCATTGCCTATATAACTCGCAGGTGAGTGTACCATCCCTATATAATTCAATCAAACATCATCCTTTGCTCCATTGCTCCACACCCTATACCTCCACTCCCTCGCGGTCAGAGATCGATCCGCCAGGCGTGGATCCAGCTGTCCTCGTTGCCCGTGGGCTTGTGAGGAGCTGAGTCCTTGATGTGGGTCCTTTTCAGAGCTTTTTTTTGATGAGGTAACTTGACATTCCTTCCAGGTGCCAGATCTTAAAACCCATGATTCGTGGGGCGGAGAAGCGCCCAGAAGTAGGATTGCATGACTATGAAGACAATGTTGCACTGTTACGCTTGTCAATGTTGGTCATTCAGTCCTGAGTGGAGAAGTTCTCCTGTTGGGTCGGCAAGAAGTGCGGATCCAGGCACTCCGATCCCGGGCCCAAGACCTTTTGGCTTCAAGGCAAACAAAGTGATTCGCAGATATTCCTGGAGGCCCTGTGATTCAGATGGCTTTGACATTGAAGTACAGGAATGGCTTCATTGATGCAGAGGCTGAGATGCCCCAGCCGCTCCAGAGCGACCTGCCACGTGCCAGCAGTTTGCCACCCAAGATGTCAAAGATGGTCCAGGTTGAGGAGTTCTTGCAAGAAGAGGAGCCGTCTTTTTGCGCATGGGATGACCAGGAATGGTCAAGAAGCCACGTTCTTTTTTGATGTTGCTTTGGGGACATCCTCCATGTTGCCAGCTTCTTCATGTCGCTGTGTTAGCCAATATGGATTTTGAGCGTTCGCCCCTTGATTGAATTGAGGGACCACCAAAAAGAATAAACCCTACCAGCGACACATTTCCTGGGAGTCCAAAAGGGCATCCAACCAGGAGTTTCTCAGGGGTGGCCATTAGACCCAACCCGAGATGAGTTATCTAACTTCTGGAATCTTTGTGCGTGCTTTCCATTGTTTTCATGTCCGAGAGCTCGCAACGTAGGAGAGCTCGCAGACCTATGTACAGATGCTCTCCGAGAACCTCTCCAACCCTCTCGATCGCAGCCCGCTCGCCCCTGGACGAACCCGAACCGGAGCTCACTCACCGAGCACAGAGATGGTGCGCCTCAGTGGGAGCATTGGACACCCGGAGCTTTGCCGAAGGCCCTGTATCTTCTGGATGGCAGGAGAAAACGACGCGTATTGACGTGTTGATGTACTGAATCCCGAGTCCAAGACCATGTTTCAAACATTTTTAAACGGTCTTTATAGGTTCCAAGTCCAGGAATTTCCCTGGGTGGTGCCCAGAATAGTAGAACTGGACTTCTATGGGAACATCAACACAGAAACGAGCAGAAACCTCAACCTTATGTTGTTGTTCTTGTAACGGACGTTGAGGGCATCAGGTTCCTGATGCTAGGACCCGGACAGTAGACAGTAGACACGGTACTTGTTCACGGGTTTCAATAAACCAATCTCCTGTGACTCAGTGACAGAACAAGATCGCGGATGTTTGCAATAAAGCTGACTTCTGGGGTGCGTTTTTCTTCCTTCCCTTCCCCTGAGGACACTGCCAGAACAGTGCTGGTTGTTCTTTCTGCCACCTGACGCACGAGAAGAAGGTCGCCAAGCCGGACAAGAAGCAGAGAAGCTTCCTGCAGTCCTTATCCCACCGGGAATTCTTCGGCCTGATCTCTCACTTTTGCCATGAAAAAGCAACGCTTCTCAACATCACCCAAGAAGCTGGCGAAGTCTTGAAGATTTTGCAAGAGGAGGCTCCGGAGAATATCACATTGAGAAAACCATGGAATTGGAATACACCACCTGTTTGGTCTTCGGAGTTCATAGTCCTCCCTTTGGGCCAGGCCATCCACGTTGGCCCATGATGATTTCAGGGAGCGCAACCCATTGTGCTAAATGTATCTAAGTGTTATAAAGGCCGTTGGCCAAAGCGACCATGTTATTCATTCTTTCAGACCCTTCTACCCTACTACTGCAAGCAGGCAAGCAGTGTTTTGGCCCGATGTGAAGTCACAAGCTGTGACTCTCAAACCGGTTTCTTGTTTAATTTCTTGATGCAATCATTCTACACCTGCATGGTTTGACTTTGACATCACCTTTCTTCAAGGCAGTGGGAGTGTAATGTTTTGATGTTCGCCCCTTGTTGGCCGATAGGCCGTCTTTTCTTTGTGCCCCATGAACGTTCCTGGACACCTTCTCAAAGTCTTGGCGCCTCGACTGAAACAAGCCGGTGGAGAAGCTGAGGTCACGATATATATTATATATATATATACGGATTTCCTGCACATGTCTTCAACTATATATGGGTGTTTATTGGCTTACGCCATGGACCCTGAAAACCACATGGTCGGTAGAGGAAAACAACCTTCCCAAGGGCCATTGTCGGGGTCCATGTTAGCTTTCGGGAGTGAATCAGCACACTCTTTAGTAGACAGATTTGGAGGATGTTCCGAGTGGTGGAAGTACTTTGATGTAGGTTGGTTATGACTTGCTTTCTTGCATGATGCCCTCCCTCGCAGATCCCGGTCAATCTGTTATGTTATTCCTCATATTCACTCCAGTTTGCAGGTCTCCGGCTCCTCCAAAACCCGCCATTTTTCCTGAAACTGGCCACATCCTCACCTCCACGGTGACCTGGCTGGAACGTCTGGCTCCCTCCGTTCCGTAGCACCGGACCGGACCGCGGTTCCCGGGCCGAAGGCCCTCCAAGGCCCAGATGACTTTCTCGCATTTGATCACCCTGGCAATCAACAGCCTTGCCCGTGAGGAGGGCCACAGCATGGTGACAGCGTCCAGGGTGAGTGAGGAATTCGTGGCCTGGTGGGACGTGGTGGCTTCTTTTTCCCAGGAGAAAGGTAAATGATGTTCTCAGGAAACTGAGATCAACTGAGTTGGTGACTTAGTTCTACACAAGCATGTGGCACGGTTCTACTCAGAGACAGATTTGGATGGTTTTGTTCATAGCTTGAAAGGTACCAAGCGTATTGCAGATGCTGCTAATAGATGCTGTTAGATGACCAGCAAAATGAGTCCCCTCGCCCAACGCGACCGGCCCAGGATGAGTTGCGGGCATGCATGCGAACGCGAGATGGTTTCTGAGACACGTGATCTATCAGGATCCACCGACTCTGAGGAGTGCGCACCTTTTTCCAAGGTCAAAAAGGATTGCCCCAAAGGGGCTGCTGCTGATTCTTGTTGACACGCTGGTCCCTAACAACCAGTGGAAGGCTTCAGCAAAGACTCTTTTTCGGACATCTGGAAGATCGCGTTTCCCGCGTAAGGTAATACGGGCACATGAGTGGGCACATGTTACTTCCTGGCGAACACGGATCCGGAATGATCCGGATATTTTTCCATAGAAACATCAATGGAATCTCGCAGCTCATCCAAAAAATATGCAGACTCTTCGGCTGGGCCCAGCCTCCGCGGCTCATCCTTTTGCTGAAGCCGCAGACTTCAACCCCACCTTAGTGGTCGACGACTGTCCACGAAATCCTGGGGGATTCATGGGTGGTTTGGTCGCCCAGGTGGTATGTAACACTTCTTTAAGGGCGAGAACAAATCGTCACTCGTCTCGCTGCTCTTTGATGATGCCTTGGGGTAGCGAGATACAGAGCAGATCAGAAGCGATGGAAAAAGACGGCTGGTCAAGAGTGCGTGCTTTCCACTCTTTAGAAGCCTCATGTTGCAGCCTATAGCGCAGATTCCTCAAGGTGGTACATTTTCCCACACGCATGTGGCGCTTGCAACATCTTCTTCGTTGCGTTTGCACAAGGCATGCACACTCTGAAGCATTGTAGCACATGAGCTTGTCTCGCACAGCAACAGCCCCCAGCCCCCCACAGGTTCGACGTGTCGATCCGGTCCTTCTTCGCTCGACCTCGTCGGCTTCGCCCACCGACGAGGTCTCACACCTTTGAGCTCCTGCTGGCCGAAAGCAGCCAAGCCCGACAGGCTCGGCAAGAAGAAGGGCTGGTGCTGTGGAGGGCTGGTGGGGAGCAAGAAGAAGCAGAAAGTGGCAGAGAGGAGAAGAACAAGAAGCAGAAACAGGAAGAGGAAGATTCGTGTGGCAAACGAAGACTTTGACCCAAGTTTTTTCTTTGATGTTCTACTGTACATGTTTGAGTGATAGTTTGTTTCCATGTTCCAGTTGGGCTTTGAGAGTTTCTTGGGGTAAGGTGGCAAGAATGCCTTAGATCTGCTTAGAGGTGGAGGTATGAAATGGTATCACTGAGTTTTTACTAAGGTATCACAAATATGACATGGGATATAGAAAAACACTGAGCACTGAGTTTTAGAGTTTTAGACGTCAATGCGTGCTCCAAAGGCACCGGGCGAGCAGGAAAAGGACCGTTACGGTTGAGAATTCGGACGCTGAGCACGTGGCTGACCGTAGTAGGGTGACATGGCCCAGGAGGATGGCTCAATGTGTTTTTTTGTTTCAATGTAGTTACAGTCTATAATTTAGGCCTAATGTTCACACGAAGTGCACTTGAGTAATTGGCTGGAAGAAGCCCGAAGCTCCAAATTGTAATGTCCTCGAAATCCTGAGCCAGACCGAACAGGATTCCACTTGGCAACTTCTTTTCAGGAAACCGTCTCAGCGTGCCTGCAGTGCAGCAAGCACGTCTTGCTGCGCATCCTGGAAGCTGAACACCTTGGTGTGTACAAAACCTATATAGACTTCAAAGGGTCTAACTGCCAGATTCCATTTGCGCCCTTCAGTAAGTTGTAAGCAAAGTAAGCCGAGATGTTGTCTCCTGACGAATGAATCTCTTCAATGGGACCGTAATGGCTCGCCAGACAGGTTTTAACAGAGATGGAGTGAGGTGATGACTTATCATCTATATGTCTATATGTTCTATCCATGAAGACCTTTATCTCTCCACAATCCTGGCAGGTTCTGGACAGTCCTGACAGGTCTTATAGCGGGTCGTTGAGTTTGGAAGTTACCATCCTTTTGGAATGGTGTTTGACTCTGATGTGGAACGAATCTCAATTTCACATGAGCCCCATTAGGATTTGAACTAGATGCCAGGAGTTGTTCAGCTTCATGAAGATGAGGTTTATATGGGGAGCAGTGGTACCTCTCTATGAAAGCCTCACATTCAGTCAATGTTTGTCGGATTCTTGGTTCATTTTGGTTCATCGAAGCTTCATGCTAACAAGACCTCCCAGTTCCGCAAGAGCTCGAGCTCGCAGGCGAAGCGCGACTACACCTCCAGCCGCTTTCTCGCCCAGAGACCGTCTCGAAACAGGGCCAGGATATATGGGGGATCCGCCATGGCCAGTTGAGACAGGGGTCAAACACCAGACATTGTCATGAAACGGACACACACACACACACACACTGGAGTTTGACCGGACAGGGCAATGTCACACTATAGATCAGGGGGTCTTTTGACCATGGCACACACTGGAGTCATACGTCTCCATGCATGAAACGGACACGGCCCTGGCACTGAACTCACCTTTTGCACACTGCCGATGAAGAGTGCCTGGGGGATCCTGGGGGTGGGGGGGAGACAGTGACCAGGCTTTAGAGACCCCTCGGGGTCTCTACATCTGCAGGGGTTCACCGCTGGAGATCTGCACCATCTTCACCACCTTCACCTCAAGACCCGCAAAGGTCACGACCACCTCTCAGCCGATCGAAATCACTCCACCATCCGCCTTTCCCGGCACCTGAGGCCTGGCGAGCTTCCCAACCTGGGAGCCTCCAGCGGAGGCCGGGTGTGGAGTAGATCAATCCGGTGGTGGCATACTTCAGAAAGGTAAATCTGGTAAAACCCACCCCAAACCATCCCCCCAACCATCTACGCCTTTCCTATATATGTTCCTTAGCAGATACTTATCGGAGCATCTTGGAGGCCTTTTTCGTGCCAACGTGGTGGAACCAATCCCTCCGGCCTTCGAACGGTGTGGAGCCTTCCCAACGGTGTGGGGGTGCGGAAGTCGCTTTGAGTCGTTTTGAGTGAAGTCAAGCAGTTCAGATGGTCGATTTGGCGTCAACGCGACACCGTTTTTGCGATTTCAGAGGGAATTCCTGCAGGAAGCGGCTAGGAAGATGAACGAAGTGGTTCGGTGTTTTTGGGGCCTCATATTCGGTGGTGATTTGTTTCGCCACTCACCACGGATACCTGGAGGCCCTCATGCAATGACCGGTAGACCGACGGGAAGTGTTCATCCGCCGTGGGGGATGGAGTCGGACTGTTGCCACCCAGATTTGTTCATTTCTTTGACCAGACGTCATGACACAAACCTGAGGTTTCCCAATCTAGTTTTTGACTGGACTCAAACACTTGATCCCTTAAACACTCAAAAACACCCGCACATGGAACGGACCCTTGAGGGCGGAAAGCTGCCTTCTAAGCATTCTTCGGGGTTTGTGAAAGGACCAGCTTGACACTGGACTCAAACCAGTCAAAACCGTTTTGACTGGCTACAAAGGATTGTCAGTTCACGGTATGCTTCTCTACGGCCTCTCAGCGGTTTTTTTTTGGCAGCCTGTGCACAGCTAGTGTTGAACAATATCTCATCCTGTTGAACTAGTGTTGCGTCAGAAGTCATGTCAGCTTTTGTGCAGGTCAACTACAGTCATGCCGCTGCAATCCTCACTAGCAAATCCTCCCCCATCCGGTCGATCACGGTCTTGAGCTGCCGATGGTTGTCCGTTTTGGGTTCAACAGATGTGCCTCGACTCGAGTGGATGTTTTTTGAAGAACAGATCAATTCTCTGGTGAACCGGCCAGGCCCCTGAAAAAGAAACAGGTCGAATCAAGGAACCATATGACATAGCATGGTGGTTTGGAGCCTTCTTGATCTTCCATGACTATTTAGTCAATGTTTGAGTCCCAATTGACTTTTCTGAGTTTGGATCACGGAGTCGTTCGATACCTCAAACAATTCAGTCAGTTTCGATCATCTTCTGCTTCGATCACCATCCCCCCGTGGATTCACCGTCTTCCATCTTCGGCCGCAGGTCTGGGCCTATCGGAGTGCCCCGGTGACGCACGTGATGTCGTGGGGTCGGCCCAGCTGTCTGCGCGACGGCGTAGGAACGACGGACGGTGTAGGAACCCATGTGTGTGTGTGTGTGTGTGTGTGTCAACCCCTGTCCCTAAGGGTTCCGATGTTTCCAAGCAGGGGAGTGAAACTAGGCCTTTTCAATAACTTCAACATGGATGAACCAGGGTCTGCCTTGGAGAAGACAACACCCCCCCTTGCCTAGACAAGTTCCTTACAAGAGTTTGGAGCTTTGTGGAAGCCAGAGGGATTTGCTTGGGCAGAAAATCGATCTCCCCCTCCGGCCAAATTGTTCCGAAACTGACCCCCCAAATAAAAAAGTCCTTTTTGTTCTCTGAAGCATTCAGGTTTGAACAATTGTATGTATTATTTAACTTATAAACCAAGGAGGGTGGCATAGTCTACGGACGTGATGAGTTGTTTTTGCTTCTTGAATATGAAGGAGGTGTGCGTTTCGGGAATCTTTGGTAGCATTCCCAAGTTGGATTGTTGGTAGCGCACTCATGATTAACGATACAACGGAACACCACATCAGACCAGCTATGACCTTTCTGGAAAGGCGTATGGACTTGTCTTCACTTGTGATTTCTTCGAAGGCCCTGCTTGGATGCCCGGTAATCGTGGGCACACGATCGAAGGAAGAACGTGGGTTTTGCTGTATGACCATGTATGACCCAAGCAACTGTCCAAGTTAGATCTCATGTTTTTGCACTGTATCAGGCAATGCGCAGATTTCCTCGCCAGACCAGTTTGAACAAGTATATCAACAGTTTATCGTAAAACAATTCGTGCTCTTATAAAATCCCAACTCTATGATTGGTTGCCATAACTATATATATAATATAACTATTAAAAAAAAAACACAATACACATCTTGTATAGAAAACGTATGGGCAAATCAAACATCTCGGCTGCTTTTTCCTTGTGGCAACCTATGAAGTTTGCCTCGCGTTTGATTCTACTTTGTGGACCAACCAAAGCAGCTGTATGAACTCATGTGTTGAACCAACCTGGACCCCCAGACGTGGAGTATCTTCCCCCCCCGGCGGCGAAGGACGGTCGCCTCACGTCCACGCGAAAGCCGGAATCTGCTACTGAACAACCGGCACCGTAAGATGTTTGTTCAAAGGCTATGGACTCAGGTTGACCCATCCACCAGTGACATTCAGGAAAATCGCTCTCCTGTCTTTGTCATCCAGTCACACTCGCTGATACCTCTCCTGTCGACGGAGAAAGCATTGGCAATGGTCGCGCAAATTCCAACACGAACCACACTGATCACGCCCACGACCTTCGTACCA